ACTGGCTTCAAATATACAGATGACAACATAATATCATGAGTTTCAGATAAACTTTTTTTTATTCTCTCAAACTCAAGTTTTGACAGCCATGAATTCTACTAAGCTGGTGGCTGGAAAGAAGAAAGGAAAATGGACCCAGGCGTAGAGTTTTTCAGAAAACAGCCCAAGTACATCTTACGAAACTGAACTGAAACTATTAAACATAATGTGAAAAACTACCCAAGAATTGTTACACTTTTATCATATATACCTAGTAAGTTATAGATGATATAACCAATGCTAAAAGACAGGCAACAGCGACCTGCCAAGTTCCAAAACTGTCCTCAAACCACTCCTTTTTAATAACTGTTGGCAACTACACTGCTACTGTTCACAGCTGCTGGAAAAAGAGTTTGACACACATCAGAACCACCGGCTTCCACCAAAAGGTGATAACTACAGTGTTTACCATTCAATGATTATGCTAAGAACAAGGCCTCTTTGGGATGAAAACATGCCTAACAATCTCCTTATGTATCCATTGCTCGTGTAAACACTAATATATCAAACATTTGCTTGGGTAAGAGCCAGACTGAAAGGATTAATGCCTTGGCTATACAGACATCGGGAAGTGTTTCATCCATTCCACTTTACTTTCTGTAGTCCCAAAACACATCATTTTCTGCTCCTGGTATATAACACTACATCAGAGGAGATTATAGGAGAGCAAATTTACAGAAACACCAGTGTATGATTTTATTTATCTCAGTGGAAGACTGGAAGGAAGGACACACAAAGTCCGTAGAGCCCTCCTCAGTATACAATACCAGAGATTTCTGTCTAGTCCAGAAGCTCTAGAAAGGGTTCATACACAGCAAGTTCACCAGTGGTTCAAATGTAAAGTTTTTACTTGATATTGTAATAAACTAGTAATCACACACCCATCACTTTCCCCAGCTGAGCAGGAGGAACTTACGACAGTGTTAATGCAAGCTGTTCGTGACGCCAGTCAAAGCAACCAAGAGAGCATTTCAGTTTTGCTTGAATCACTGTTGATAGCTTTCAGTCACAAGGGTCGTAAAGAGGGTGTAGAAACGAATGGCAGAAGTAATTCCCTAAACTACTAGAACCGTTTTAGAAGTGACTAACAATACCTTTTGACTTGCTTCGTACAACTACTCAGGCTGGGAAGAGTCCTTCACTTTTCAGATACACATGCAAGACAGGACTTACTGGGGAGACTAAGGGAGCTTTCACGTCTTGCGCTGCGTGCTCCCAGGACAGCTGATGGGAGCAGCACCAACACGTGGCTATGTCGCATGCATTGCTGCTTTGAATATTCTAGCACACTTCTTCCTCAAATGCATGACAAGTAATCATCAATACTGAACTAAATAGTAATCTTGTTAATTAACATACGCATGTTCAAACTATTCAAAGATAAAGAACACAAAAATACAACTCCAGTAGTTCTAACCAGGGAGGCCAACTTGCCAGCCTCCTCATCTACCTCTTTCCTTTTCCTGGCTGTTATTTTCTTGCCTTGATGTAATTGTGAATTCCACAGAATGGAGACAATAAGAAATGCACATCCAAGCTACACGTGTCTGGTTACTTTCACTATCATATTTGTTCACCCTCCCTCTTTAAAACTACACACACACATGCTTGTGTTTAGCAAAAGTCTTGCATTGTTTTAAAATTATTAAACCCAAACTATGTTTTGATCCTTCCTGTTTTTGCCTGACAACTTGCAAGAACTGTTTTGTTATCAGCTAGAAAGTACAGTATGAGGTACCGTAAGCAAGTAAGGATAACTTCAGATTTGTAATAGGAGAAAATACCCAGTGCAAGAACAATTGCTTCTGGAGAATATGTTTTCATAGATTATAATACCTCAGATTAACTCTAGGTACTTACCATATTTGTAAAGCACGGATGGTCCTAACATATTTGCACTAGGGCACAAAGAATTTATTCTGCTCAAGAATCAATACTATGTTGAAAGACTTGCTTTTAAAATTAACTTTTTTAAGGATAAGAAATGGATTTCTAAGTGTAGCTGAAAGATATCAGCTTATAAAATGTATTTCTCCTTTGACCAATTTCTGCACTCTGCTCCTTATTTGGAGGAGTGATGTACTCATTGAAAGGTTTCCTAAAAAGTAATGATAGTCTCCACTTTGAAAACTGTTTCTCATGTTATGGTGATTTAAGTACCTGTCATAGCTCCAGCAGCCCTCTATGTATGAACACACTAAAATACACATACACATTTTTCTTCCCTAGAATAAGATAAACAATCTGAAGACAAATCAAAACATCATAGAAATACATTTTCAGTTAGCCTAAGAATTATCAATAACACTCAACACTAGAGGTAAAATGCATTTTGATATTAGAAATGTATGAGATGTATGAAATCATTACGTTTCCAGACTCAGCTGTATGGCTCCTACAGCTAGCAGGTCATACATGTTAATAGGCATATAACAAATAAAAAAATCCGTACAATTATACCAGTTTCTTCTAGTGAAAAATTAAAAATGCACGGCATTTTTGGATGTCTTCTCTTTTTATCATTTGCCCCTCCTGTTAATACCCATTAGCACTTTGTATTTTGAAACGACACTTGCCAGAGGTATTGAGTTGCCAGGTTGTAGCACTACGTGTGCCAGCAATGACTTCAGTGACCTAACCCAGCTAGAGGGCTCAATCTTTGCACTACTTCTTTCCTTAGGGGGAAGGTGTGAGTTATACAGTAGAATTCAAAAAGTTTCCCAGCGATAGCCATGTTTCCCAAGAGGCACTGAAAAGACTGAGTTTGTGTATAATTATGAAAGACATTGTCTAGGGATGCCAACTGCACTGAAATACATGAATGTTTTTAACTCACTAAACATGTCTCAACTCAGCAGCATGCTTATCTAAAAACCAAAATATTACTTTTGATGTTTTAGGTATGCAAAAATTCAGAGATAAGGTAATGCTAAAATCTTACACGTTTGGGCTAGAGCAGTAAAGTTTTTGTTTTGTCTCTTAAGTGATTCTGAAAATAAATTTGTTAAGGCTTTTTCAAACTCAGTCTTAAAATTTTGCTACTGCAATCTATATTTAAATAAAGCTTTTATTAACCCTTTTATGAAGAAACAAGCTTAAAATCTGTTGACTCATACACAAGTTACAAGATAAAACACATTTGATTCCAGAAGCTTTGGTGTCACTGTTAGCTTGTTTTCTGGAGAAAGGATCTGATGATTCAATGTTCAGGCAATAATTTTTCTGTTGTGGCACAGAATATTCCCTCTATTCTATTTTTGTCATAAGAATGAATGAATTACTTTTTATAAAGCACAGAAACATTTCACACTGAAATAGATTAAAAGTCACTCCAGTCAAAATCTGGGCTAATGTGTCTCCTGTTTACTGCACCATAAGCACCTTTGCTGTCTCCCAACACTCATACAACTCTGAACTAGCACTTTAGACAATGACCTACTGCACCATATTATGATCAGCTAAAAAAAGCATTTCTTTAAGACATAAATCCATTTTAAAAATCTAGATCTTAGTACAGTGGGATAAAATACCATAAATATGGCAGAAGTGTTTAATGCCCTTCATTGTTTATTGCCCTTTAATCACCCTCCACATAAGGAAAACATATTACTATTTCTTGATGCATTTCCTAGTTAACTACAGAAAGTTTACTATACCCTCCAGATGACATATGAATGCAGTGTCAGTTAAGAAATAAGAGACAGCAACAATATGAGAGTTGGAGAGAACCCTTTCATACAGTGAAGAACTAGAAAAAGAAAAAAAGAAGGAAAAAGCTCCCCCCAAAGGGTTTCTTCCTTTAAAATTATTTCTTGATCTGTGGACTTTCAGTAGGTGATGAAATATCACACAATCAAAAAAAAAATATTGTAAATAACATATATACACATATATAATTTTATATGCACACAAATAAAATTTGGCAAAAATAGAACATTTGAAGTTAACTTAATATTTATCCTGTCAATGATAATTGCAGGCATAGCCATGAGGAAGCTCTTTTCCGCAGCAGGCATTCAGTGTGTTCACATGCTTAATGCTATTAAACTCCAATTACTTCCAGTGGTAGAGTTAGTACCTTTTAAAATTATACTTTGCTTATGTGAGAGTGAACAGTCACCATGCCATCCCTGATGAACAACGCAGGACGTGAAATAGCCCATGGATTTCTTGTCCTGCCCAAATAGCTAGAAATGTAATTGGGGCAGAGAAAAACAAAATATGATAAATACAACCATATGAGTTAGGAGGGAAAAGAAGGAAAAACCAGCGTGGGCTTATGTGGAAACAAACACAGGTACCTATCCATGTAGAGTTTCTACCCAATGCATTAGTGAAACAACATTTTTTCAATTACCAGTCTGCTATATTCTTTCCCATTAATAGGGTGGTTTCACAAGCCACTGAACTGTATCTTTGATGTTCATGATAACCATTCCTAACTCTTTGTGAACTACGCTACTTAAATCCCCTCAAATGTCTGTTTATTTTCTCTTGTAACATATTCCTGCAGTGTCAGATTAACAGACACAGAGTAGGCCTTCAGGCACTAAGAATGTAAGTTAGCCTAATTCTCAAGAAAACAAGATGTGCACTTAACCATAAATATTTTTTTATAATCACATCAAACATAATGTACCTGGTATTCAGTTTTATATAAATTAGTTCTTACGTCAGATCTACTTCTGAGGTTATCCAAAAACCAAACACATAACACTATTTTTACTCTTCCAGGTCTGAATAATATTTACAGACATTAATGCTAAATCCATTTCTACAATCATTCGAGACACAATATATAACTTTATTTTTTTTATTTGACAAGCAGCAGTATCATGTTCGTCATTTTTTTTACATTTTAATGTAGATACAATTATTAGGTTATCTGTCATATTACAATATTTAGGTTTTTTGTTTTTGTTTTGTTTTTGTGGTTTTTTTGTTCCTTTTTTTTTTTTTTTAACTTTCTCTTAAGATACATTAAAAAACATCAACTGCAAACGTGAAAGGGGAGGAAAAAAAAAAGCATGGTACCCAACCAATTTTCCACATTTCAGCAATACTTCACTCATTCTTTTAGTAAAGTTTTAAGAAATGTCATAATGACATGAGCTTGAAATATCTATAGGCATTTTCATTGACGCTCATGACATGGCACTGGTGATGTTGTAAACAGCAGAAAAACAGGGGCTGCCAAGTGACCAATTATGGAGGCACAGGCCTGCCTCTTCCCACAGGAACACACCAAACAGTGACAGCAATGATCTCCTTACAATCATACCTGCAGGACAGCAACATCATGCTACATAACTGTATTCGTCTGCAGAGGCCTGGCTTCGCTCTATGTACTGTTTGTCTATCAGAACTTCAATACACTTCTTAATCATGCTGATACTTGGGTTAAACCTAGCTCTTGATTGGCTAATTACCTGCAAAAGAAAGACGTTTTTTGTGTTATTTTTATTTACAACAGTTATAAACGCTACAGAAATATTCACTAAGGGCTTTAAGGCAAATTCAGTATATTTTTCTTTTAAAGACAGGATTAAATAAACCTGGAATAGTTGATCTGTAACAATCAGCAAAGCATCTCTATACATTAGTGTCAGGACACTTAAACTGACTGCTTGGCTCATTGGTTAGTTTGCCTGCATGTTAACCACATCTTTTCAGTCCTCTTGCTTGCTTAATTTGCCACGGTACAAATGAATATAAATATTCAGGTTAAAAATTAATCTAATATTCACACATTTCTTCACTTTATTATTATCACAGTTTAAGCAAAGTGAGAATTTTGTAAAAGCACATGTGCCTTTCCACGCTGGCTCTGCAAACTGACTTCTCTTCCTAGACTAGGTCCCTTTTACTTCTGTTGATGTACTTTCACTGTTCTGGAATACTTAATTTATGGACTCCCAAATTTTGTTTGAGTTATGTCAGTCTTACTTGGAAATTAAATGCTTGAAGAATGTGTTAATCTTAGTTTTCAAAATAGTTTATACAATTCTGAATGGTTAAATTTAACTTGATTATATTTTTCAAAACTATCTCTAAAGCTGAACAATTTTCTTCTCATCCATCACCACTTTTGTTATCACAAGAAGATAGAGGAGACATTTTCATTTATTAAAGATTTGTGAAACCTGTGTTTTCTTTATAGCATTAAAAAGAGAGGTTTAGAAGACATGTGAACAAGTACACAGCAAATTACCAAAAAATCTGACTATAACCTTTTAATAAGTTTTTATTCATTCTTGACCAGCATATTTTAAATATATTAAAAATGCAACCTATCCTCAGAGATTCTACTGTACTAGGCAATCAAATCTGCAAGAAAAAATAACACTTCTTTTTCAGGAAATTTGCTGAAAAGCCCTAGATGACACTTTTCATCACAAAAGACACAGACGAAGTAGTAATCATTTTGTAAAGCTACACTACTTCATTGCTGTTGCAGCTGCCAGGAAATGAGATGTGAGCTGGATTTGTTGTGTTTTGCCTAAGTTCCAGCCCATGTAGTGCTGTATATCTGGTCCTGGAAGGCACTCGAACTGCTTCGCTGCCTGCGAGGTGTAAATGGAGACCTCCTACCACTGAATTCCTTTCCTACACAATGAGATAATCAGAATGAGCCTCTCTTTTTTCAGTCACTGAAGGTAGCCCTACGATTTGGCAAATTCCATCTGGCTATGCTGGAACTTTGTAACACATACAGTAAAAAATTATTTATTGTAAAAACAAATTTATATATGCTTTGTGGAAAAAACTGCCACTGCAGGCAAAACTTTAGATGTCTCTTAACAGTTCTCAGTTTTGCCCATTCTCTTGTAGAGGAGAGGAGGAAATGGTGTGTAGTAACAGAATATACGTATCTATTAAACATGGAAAATTTTTCAAACAAAAGATCTTACTACTCAAGTGTCACTATATTTTGCCTCTAGTTTCTCATTTGTTCTGTAAAGAAATTGATTTTTATTTCAGCTGGATTTCCTGTTTTCTTTACAACTTTTCATGGTTGGCTTTGTCCCAGCTATAGAGCTTGCTGGAGCCCTCTGTGAACCAACAGAACTCACCAGGTAGAACTCACCCAGCAAAGCAAACAAAAAGCTCAAAAGAGAGAGTTTTGTTGGGCCAGCAGCCAAGGGTCTGGTACGTTCCACAGCAGTACAAGTGAGAAGAAACTTGGCGCTAACAGGCTAATAGATCTGCTCATATTTCACCTAACTTCAGCCCTACGCTCAGATTGATTGTCATCATCACACTTCATGTAGTTACTTAGGACAGAGAGAACAAAAGACAAGAGTTTTGTATCAGTAAGGTTTTTTTCATTTTGTTTTATCAAAGAAAACACAAATAAGAAGGATGGATAGAAAAACCTGATGGTCAGAATAAAAAATTTTTTGGGAATGACTGCATTGACCTTTCCCCTCCAACTACTCCCACTGACCCTTTTCATTTTAAGGGAAAAGCTACCTCGTCCTGCAAGCGACTGCAGCATGGAGCTAAAAGTAAAACTATCAGGGCATATCTAACACAATTAACAATTCAGCAAAGAGCACACGCTGACATATAGAGGTCTACCAAGGGCCTTGAGTATTTTCTTGGACACCTCACCCTAAATGAATATATGGTGTTGTAGTCTGACTGTTAGAATCAGAGCTAACTACATTAAGGCTAGGAGTCTTTTAATCATATCTTTAACGGTATAATCCTGCCCTTATATCTCAGAAAAAAACATTAGTGAGGCAAGAAAATATTAAACATTCATAGTAAACAGACTTCCTTGCAAAAGATTCATTCTTACTCCTCAAGAAGTCAGACTAGAAATTTTAGGTGATTACGTTATATGTAAGTATATGAGCGTCATGATAAAAGTAGCAATGTCACCGTAATGGGTAACAATATCACAGATGAACGTTTTAAGAAATAAAAAGGCTCTTGACAGTAAATCAAACCTTACTACAAGGTTAACAGGGAAAAAAAAGGAAGTTGGGCAGCCAAGTAGTTATGCATACTCTAAAACTTTATAGAAGTGATGGTTATTAATTGTTTAATAAAGGTCAGCCTAGCAAGAAAGCTGAGCATGTTCAACTCGGAACCACCTGGCAGTTTGGCCTTGTTCATACAACATGAAGCAAAACAAGTTACTGAGCTCAACGCACACATAACTGGGTAAAATTTCCACTTTCCGTGACATTTTCATCTTTGCGTTTAAGCATTAACTATACAAAAACGTGTCTCCCCACAATTTGCTCTAAAATCTGGCAATAATTTCTGAAGTGCCTAAGAGTACATCTGTATCACAGACTGTAGAGAAGACACCTAACATTTCAAAGAACCAAGCTCAGGTCCTAGTAACAGTTTAGCTGAGGCAGCATGGAGATTGCCACAAATGAATTCAGAGTGCAAAAAAGGAGGACAAGTTAACTGTAGTACATTTTTTTTGTACTGCTTCACCTTATTGCTTTAGGTTTCAGAATTGCTCATTTAAGGCTACATCAGGTCCCCACACTATACTGTAGCATAGATATCAATTATTTAGAAGCCTAGCCTTCAGTTTTAAATGCTCTAATCCATCTAGGACATAAGTAGTATTCAAAATTGAGAACTAAAGACTAAATGATAAAGGATATATTTTTCAAAAGTATCATAAATTTAGTTAAAAGCTAAGGTGAAAAACCAATACACGTGGATGTGGCTGGTGATAGGTAAATAGAGCACCAAACTTTACTCTCTATTTAGTTTTTAACTGAGTAACAATCAAAATATCCACCTTTCTTGCAAAGCATGAAAAAGCTCCTGATGTTAATAGACTGTACTATTTTGCAAGAGTACTGCAAGAGCAAAATGCAGCAGCAGCATGTCAGACAGTTCCTCCTGAGTTAAACAAAGGAAGAAGCAACCAGAAAGGATTTTTTGTTTCCAAAATATAAAAATTTGTAATCTATTCCACCCTTATAAACTGGTCTCAAGAAAAGTGCACTTCGAAAACTTTTTCTAAGAATTTGAGAGTACGGAGAAAAAGTATTTTCAAAGATGAAACAGGGCTTGTCTACCGTCTTCTAGTTTTAACTGTAAATTCTTCCTGGATTTAATCATAATTGCATGGATGATTTAAGTAACAAGGAAACCAAATAACCAAAGATTTTGAGAAGTAATCAGGACCTACGCTACCTCATCTTCTGATATTAAAAAATCAGATTTTTTAAATTAAGCTTGCCTTCAGAGTATTTGTATACAAGCACTATTTCAATATCCAAAACCTTTAAGGTGTCTCGCGTTGCAAGTCCTGGGCTTACAAGCTCTCTGTAGCTGCTGGGTTTTTTTTAGGAAATAAAAATTAAGTGGTGGGTGTGGTAAACCGTTTCCTCCATCACCACAAGACAGAAAGCATACAGCAGATCTCAAAATGACTGAATGCCTCTCCACCTCCATGCTCAAAATGGTCCAGTAAAGCAGGAATCTTTATTCTCTCTCCCACCAGTCCACTCTGAGGCTCAAGTACGGCTCAAGAGACACAAGAATGAATTAGACTGAAGAATGAATGCCTGAGAAAACTAAAACTGGGAACTGGTTGGTAGGAGCAAAGGTTACATTGGAGTAAGAAATGTAAGTAGGCAGGCAACTAGCTCATATGGGAAAGTAGGAGAAAAAGAAAAGAAATAGCACTTCCTTCTCGGCCAGTCTGTTATAGTTCACAGATCATTAATCTAGAATCTAAAAGATCTAGACAACTGTACCACTTAACAGAATAGGGAGGTTAAGAACTGCATGTCTACATACTCGGACAAATTTTAAAATTTAAGCCATGAATTAGAATAAAATCATGATTAGAGCTCAAAATTGGCTAGGTGCTTCTGTGGAAATTCCATACCTAGAATATCCATACTAAGGTTTTCAGCTGAACCTACACCTCTGGCAATGATTCTTATAGGATACGACATCTGTCGGCATAGAACCAGCCAACAGGAAAAAGCAAGCACAGAGGCACTTAATGCTTTAGTGCCAAGACACATTTACAAGATTGAGGGATCACAGCTAGTGCTCGAGTACTGCAGTTCAAAGTAGACTCCAATGAAATTCTCACTAATTTCACCAAAGTACTAGTTTTGACATGGGAGAGTTTTGTGGTCAGATGTTTCACTCAACTATCCTGAAGATTTTCATCAAATCATGTTTAAGAAGAGGATTTCTCTTACCTCCTGAATAAGAGCATTATGTCGCAACACTTTACGTGCTTTCATAATACGGACAATAGCAGCTTGAAGATACATTTTTCTGTCTTCATCTACAGCACTTCTGGTCTGCTCCATCTCCTGTGATACAGGAAGAACAGTAATGCTTAAAATATAGTAAGATGAATAAACATTTCATAAAAGTATCTTGAATCTATACTTTTTACTTTATTAGAAGTAGTCGATTAATACAAAAATCTAGGTGAAGTTCAATTCCAGGCACAGTACTTCAATAAATCAAGAATACCAGGTT